CAGCACAGTGCCCAGCACAGAAAGGTGCTCAGGAAGGGGTGGCTGGGGAGCAGGTGAAGGGGAGGGCAGAAGAGCCTCACCCTAGGGCTTCGTTTAGAGACTGGGCTACTGGCTGTGAAACGCTCAGTGTCATTCCAAAAAATGCCAAGCCACAGCCTCATAAGCATAAGTGCCAACACTTAATAGCGTCTGACATTTATAGAATATCTTCAATGCGCATGGCTCTGGCCTGTGGCCTCTGGCCTGTGGCCCATTGGCTTGCAAAATTGAGACTGTGAGCCTGACTAGGAAAAAGTGGGATGGGGCAGCAGAAACTGTCCCCTCTGCTGGGGAACTAACACAAAGTGCCCTTGCTGGGGACCATGCTTAGACAAGAGTAGGGTCCTGTTTGTGCCTTTTCTCCCTGTTCCATACTCTGTTTTCATCCGCCATTTCCTGAACTTGATCAAATCCCAGTCCACTGTTCAGAGTCAGGGCTTATTCCATGAGCTGAGCTCTGGGTGGGAACACAGAGTTCCCTGGGGGGCCCACACAGGGAGCCTTTTCCCGAGGCCTGAGTCTTGCATGGCTGTTCCCCAAACATGGGTTCCAGACTGGGACAGAACTGGATCGGAGGCCACTTCCTGTCTGTGGGCCCTTGGACAAGCGATTTAACTTCTGAGTCCCAGTTTTCCTCTTCTGTGAAATGGAGCTCCGTGCCCTTCCCTATAGGGTTTCGGGGCAGGTGGAAGGGAAGAGGTCTGTAACTGTCAATCACTGAGCCCGGCACTTGGCCCGCATGCCGCCGCTTGCTTTTCTGCCACTATTACCATCCCTCAGTTAACACAGCGCATCTGTCCTTCTGTTTATAAAGCCCTTCATTGCACTGACCTCAACTCCCAACTTGCAGCCGCTCTGCTCCATGGGCAGAGCAGGGGTTTCTCAGCTCCATTCTGATTGGCTACATGGCGGCCCAGAGGGATCTGGAGCCTAGGAGAAGGGCTTCCTGTTTCTGTGCAAACTGCTTTTTTAAAAAAGATTTTATTTATTTATTTGAGAGAGAGACAGAGGTAGCGAGAGAGAGCACGAGTGGGGAGGAGAGGGAGAAGCAGACTCCTTGCTGAGCAGGGAGCCCCATGTGGGGCTCGATCCCAGGACCCTGAGATCATGACCTGAGCTGAAGGCAGACGCTTAACCGACTGAGCCACCCAGGCACCCGCAGGCCGCTTTCCATGGCACAGCTCTGATGGTCTCCTGGGGTGGTAGGGTCTGGGCACTTTGAGGAGGCCACCCACCCATCAGGGGCCCTGTCCCTCAGGGCTGCAGCTGCTGAGTTATAGATTCAGTGAAGCTGGTCCCTCAGTGAGACTTGGATCAGAGCTCACCTGGTATGGGATAACAGTCCCTTATGGAGCTGCGTTCTCTCTGATCGCAGACCACAGGACACCAGAGCTCAGTTCCTCACCCCCCGACCCAGTGCCCCCCATCCTGACACAGCCCTGCATGCTTCTCCCTCCTCAACTCCTTCCCAGCCTCACTTACCCCCTGCTGTCCCTGGCCCACGTCATCCGCCACCAGCTGCCATCAGATGTGTTACTAAGCTGCTCCTTAACCCTGAGCGCCTGCATCTGACTGCCCTGTTTCCCCAGAGAAGCCGGGAATCCCTGCAGTCAGGAGCAATTTTTCCTCTGCCTCCCTAATTCCCCCAAGGATGGCTCAGCTTCCCCAGAGCAGAGGGGGCCTTGGTCATGGTACCAGCCTGGGAGGCATAGCCATGGCTATGGAGAGGAGGGGCCGCAGGGCCCCATGTCTCTCCGGAAGCCCCTGTGCCCTCCATCTGGGAAGGCCCAACTGGGCTAATTTTGTCAGCAGCACGCTCTGTTCCTCTCCCTAAGAGGCAGCCGAGAAGAGCGGCTGGGCTTTATAGTCTGCAGGTGTGGGGGATTAGCAGTGGGCTTTGCCAGGAAGAAGGGATTTGGGATGGGCCCTCATTAGAGCCTCAAACTTCCACCCCAATTTCTTTGGGATTTGTTCTTGATGTTTAAAATGCAAACTGACTTCTCAGCATATTCAAACTGGGCCAGGTCATTGGCAACCATCAAGGGGTGGAAATCACTGAATTGTTCTGCCGTGTTTCCCTTAATGGCAAGGATTGGAGAAAATGGTAAGCAGGGGCAGGAAGACAGTTTGCGACACTTCCTCATTTGCTCCTGGGTCTCTTTTGAGGAAGGCATGGGCCACATTGGAAAAACACCGTTTGGGAGTCAGGACCAGCCTCACAGGCCTGCAAAGACAGTGGCTTTATGTGTTGTTATAATGTCCCCTCCCCACAGCCCCTGGTCACCAACCCACCCTCCATCTGCTTTCCCCAGGCTGACTCTGTCCTCAGCATCACAGATGTCAGCAGGCTGAGGCGGTGGAGGCAATGAGGCTAGGACACTGGGGCCCGTTTCTCCCCTGCCCATACCTCCTTTGAACCCCAGGCAGGTCCAACATGAGCCCCCTGCTCGAGTCTGAAGCCCCAATTGTGCAGAGGAGGAAGCTGTGTACAAGGAGAAGACTCAGGTGGTGGTTGCATCATGACAGCACCTGCGTTGTGAGCTCTCAGTCTGGGCCCCTATTCAGACCCAGTTGCCGAGTCTTGGTTTCTCAGATTAGCGAGATGCTTTGAGCAAGAATCAGGGCCTTGGAGGGATGGGGCGGGCACCTAGGTTTTGAAGGGGGCAAGGCAGGCAGTTCCCATCTCTGACATAAAGGGAAAGAGAGCACGCATGGGGCAGGACACTGTGATGACAGCGTGTGGTTTTGTGAGTATGTATGTACGTATGTGTGCGTTAGTGGGAATGCACGCTATTCGTGTTGTGTTTTGCTTCTCCCTCTGTAGGTAGAAAGTCTGGTGGTCTGAGGACTGAATTCTTAGGGAGGGAGAGCTGGATCAGGCAGAACCTCTACTTGCCCAAACTTTCTTAGCCTGTCTTCCTTGAGGGTCTTTGTGACTTTGCGTGTTTGAAGGGTTTTGGAACTGCTCCAAGGTTTGGCAGGTCACTGGTTTAAACTGGTCCTCCCCCAGTGAGCTTGTAAGGGAGCAGTTTCCTTGCACTCCTGGTGTCAAGTGTAGGTGCCCAGTGGCCATAAGCGAAGGGGGTGAACGAGGGGAGAAGCTGAGATGGAAGAGAGAGGGTTCTGCAGGGAGCCTGTGTCTGAGCATGGAGGCCAGATGGGATGGGAGAGGGGAGGCTCATTGTAAAGGGGGGCAGCCTCTGTGGAGACTCATTTTCTAGACAGCGCTTCAGGTTTCGCTGCCAGGAGCAGAGTCATCAAGACTGGTCTTTGCTGTTGAAGGGAGGTAGGAGACAGTGTTATAAAAGGGACCTACATTCACACCGCACACAATTTAGAGAGAGGTTTTCTCATACATGATCCTCTCGATAACTGGAGGAATAGACATCCTTCGTCTTAAAAAAAAAAAAAACTTTAATGGCAATAAGAAAAGGGAAATTGGCAGATTCAATGGGTGTTCTGTAAAATTTCTAGATTTTAGGCAGTGTGTCCTAGGAAAAGAATTAGAGATGAGGCCAAGTGAGCTACAGGCTAGTGGGAGATACTGATGTAGTGTTCCAACAACGTGGAACACTGAGTGCGAAGATATCTGAAACTTTTGTTTCTCATATGGAAGAAAGAGCAATGTAGAGAATTTTAGGACAAAAATCTTCTTCTCGATCGTGATGTGTTGGATGTAACCAGCCCTGTTGTATACATCACGATGATAAATAGATACTTCAGAAAACTCGTGATGGAAGAGAGCCTTCATTTGCAAATAGTCTGAGTCAAGTTCAGCGGCAACTGCCCAAATGGAGAATGGAGGTGATTTTTTAGTTCTCGTTCTTCTTAAATTTTCCTGGGGAGGAACCCAACCTTTCCAGATGGGGAAGGTGGTGTCTCTCAGGTGAGCCAAGGAGAGGAGGCCTTGGGAATCCTGCATTCATTTTCCTAACGTGAGCCTGGAAGAGGAAAGGCTGGTGGTTTCTCAGGCCTGGACCAGGTGGTCTAGACCCCTCTTCTTGGCTGGATTGGCCTTTGTCCAGCTTTCCCCTCCCTGTGGGCCTCTCTCCCCACCTGCCCCTCCCTCTCATGGGCCTTGGCCATGGTCTATACTTCCTCTCGGTCCACTGTACATGCCTACCCTTCTCAGATTGAACTTTCTCTCTTACCCCACCTCAGCTCTCCTTCCAAAGCCCTTGTGGCTGAGAACTTATCTCATGTGTGTTTCATACATGGGCTTTCTCCTCCCTGGACAGCAAGAGTCCCAGAGGGAGCTGCTGCCCCTCCCCTGACTTCGGCTTCTCCCTCCACCTCCTCAGTCTTTCTCCTCCTGGTTCTTCCCTTCTTCCCTCTCCTCCCCCGCTTCCTCACTGGGGCTCTGCACCCATCCCTGTAATCTTCTGAGGCTGGATGGGCTGGCAGAGTGGCCTTGGGGATGCAGGACAGGCAGAGAAATGCTGACTTGTCAGCACTATAAATCTCTCAGGAATTAGGGGCTCTGTCCAGCCCTGCTGGATGGCCCCTCTCTCAACTTGAGCTTATGTCAGGTGAGTAACCCTGGGAAAACAAAGCAATCTGGAAATTTGGGGTGATTACCAAGGTGTGTTATGAATTCTGGACTCAGCCTCTTGCTGCCAGGCAAACCAAAGCTGATAATACCTCAATTAGTTGGCTGGCACCACAAGCCAGCCAAGCTCCCTGGCCCTATATAAAGGCCATCCCCAGCCCAGAACTTCAGAAGGTGTCCTAGTTTCCTCTAGCTTTTCCATCCATCCTTCCTTTGGAATACCTTGCTGTCCGCCATGAATCGCCAGGCCAGCCACAGCCAACAATCTTGCAGATCTTCCAGCGGGGGCCACCGCCAGGGCTTCAGTGCCCACTCAGCTGTGGTGTTGGGCCAGAGCTGGGTCAGCTCCACCAGGTCCTCCTCGACATCCCACTCAGGCAGGGGCAGTGGTGGGTCTGCTGCCTGTGCCATGATGGGAGGAGGTTTTGGCAGCAGGAGTCTCTACGACCTTGGGGGCAACAAGAAGATCTCCATCAGCTTGGCCGGAGGCAGCTCCTGGGCTGGAGAGTTTGGGGGGGCCCGCAGAGGCAGTGGTTTTGGAGGTGGTGGAAGAGGTATGGGTGGGGGCTTTGGTGGAAGGGCTGGGGGTTTTGGTGGAGGAGCTGGTGGCTTTGGTGGCCCTGGGGGTTTTGGTGGGCCTGGTGGTCCAGGTGGCTTCTCTGGGAGAATCCAGGAAGTGACTGTCAACCAGAGCTTTTGCAGCCCCTCAATGTGGAGGTTGACCCCCAGATTGGGCAAGTAAAGACCCATGAGCGGGAGCAGATCAAGACCCTCAACAACAAGTTTGCCTCCTTCATCGATAAGGTGAGCCCATCTTGGGACAGCTGGACAGTGAGGAAACCTGGCTTAACTGGGATGGTCTCTTTTTCTTCTTCTCATTGTGAACCTGAGGAAGAACTTGTGGGTTCATCCTACACTTCACGTCCTCTGTGGCATGTCAGCAAGTGGTGTAACAGCAGATGATGGAAATATTGGATGGAGTTACTGCACCCGTCATATGCCCCATCACTGTGGTTTGTCAGAGGCACTGCTGGGATTGTTTGTTGCCGTCATGGAGGTCCCCTCACTGTTGCTCTCTGAAACTCAAACACAGAATTCCCTCCCTATGCCAGGGGAGTTGTGAGCTGTTTCCCTTTGAAAGAGAGGCTGACTCTAACCAAGCTCGATTTGTCTGAGAGAGGAGTTCATCTGCCATCAGCCTATGAAGAGGGATGCAGAGAGGTTTTGGGAGGTGGGATGGGTAGGGATGAGGGGTACCTCCTCCTCGGTGGTTCTCACAGGAAGACTTCAGGGTGAGGAGCTGTGAGTGTTGAGGCCATTTGATATTTGTATACACTATGATAATTGTTGTGGTCACCAGAGGGTATTTAGGTTTTTGGTGGCTGCTGAGTGTTTCAACCATACTGTTGAGTATTATGTGATCCTGGGAAAATATCAGGCCTTAAAGAGAGGATTCATAGGGACTCTTTGGGGTCCCCTCGCCCTACATCAGTGTCCTAGGCAAAGCCAAAGGAGGAAAAGTGTCTTAACATTGAAATACCAGACCTTTGTAGAGGTGAAACTCTTCAAAGTCAAGTGATCTGCTTGTTCCCAGCAGACACCTGGTGTCCCAATAGAGTATTCACAGAAAGGTGGAAGGTGATGTGACATGCTGGTTCCCCAGTGCTGGGCCCAGGAGCAGCTCTCATCACCCTTCAGGGCAGATTCCCAGGTCTTGGAGCCCTGAGTGTCCAGCATAGGGCCTGCCATGAGCTTGGTGCTTGGCAAATGTTTGTTGAATGGCCGATTGATTGGTATTTATTGCACATGTTTATGCAGTTGGTCTTGAACTTGTGTGCAGAAATGTTTTGCAGCAAATGAAAGTTTGAGACATCTTTAGCTAATGGTGCAGTTTAAATGCAGCTGAGCCCTACATTTAACCAGCTTGGCAGAGAGAGCTGACTCTAGGTGATTCTGGACCCTGTTTCCTGCGACAAGGGCGGCCTGAAAGCCATTTCCTTATGGCCTTTGCTCTTTCCCACCTTCATGCAATGTACCCACCTGTACTGCAAACCTCCTCCTGGGGTCTATGTCTGCTCTAGGATGTTGGACTCTCCTGCTATTTGTTGAATACTAAATGATTGAGGAATGAATGATGGAGGAATGAATGAATGAATGAATGAATGAATGAATGATACAGCAGGAAGATCATCAAGCGTAAGTATCGGGAAACCTCAGTCCTGTTTTGTTACTGACTTGTGTGACTGTTGTCATCTCTGGGCTTCAGTTTCCTTATACCTGCACAGTCGGGCTCTGCCTCTCCCACGTCATACCAACACTGCTGTCCACAGGAGGTTAGCACTCAACTATCACAGCATTCAAAATGCAGCCCTGCAGGAGAGACGAGGAGACCCCTGGGACTTTGTTTGGGGATGTCATGAGCCACCATGACTGGAGCTGGCCCCAGACATTTCCTTGATGCTCTTCTCATTGGGCGGCAGGTGCACTTCCTGGAGCAGCAGAACAAGGTCCTGGAGACCAAGTGGAGCCTCCTGCAGGAGCAGGGCTCCGGTTCTAATACCAACAACCACAACCTTGAGCCTTTTTTTGAGAACTACATCAGCAGCCTCAAGGCCTTCCTGGATGGGCTGCACCTGGAGAAGGACAAACTGCAGGGTGAGCTGAGGGGCATGGAGGAAACTGTGGAAGACTTGAAGAAGAGGTGCGTGCTGCCCTTGTCCCGGGGTGGGGCTGGACGGCAGGAGAGGGGGAGGGGCGGATGGCAGGAGGCCTGGGCTCCAGCTTAGCTCTGTTCCAGCTGGCCGCAAGCTTGCAGGAATTTACCCCATCCTCTCTGACTCTCGATATCCCAGTCTTTAAAAGAGAGGCTCATGGCTTGCTTGAGAAAGATATCCTTTTGAGAATTTAATGAAAGGGTACATACATATAATTTAAGGAGTTCCAAGACACCCTGAAGCTCATTCATGAACCTAACAGACTCAGAAAACATCCTATGTCCTCCCTGGGCTAGACAGTCTTCAGGTTCCCCTCCAAATGGGAATTTTATTTCCCCTGTCAATAAGCCTCTCAGTGAGGGACGCCTGGGTGGCTCAGTCGTTAAGCGTCTGCCTTCGGCTCAGGTCATGACCCCAGAGTCCTGGGATCAAGCCCCGCATCGGGCTCCTCGCTCTGCGGGAGGCCTGCTTCTCCCTCTCCCACTCCCCCTGCTTGTGTTCCCTCTCTCGCTGTGTCTATCTCTGTCAAATGAATAAATAAAATCTTAAAAAAAAAAAAAAAGCCTCTCAGTGAGTAGCAACTTGCTGTGCCTTTGTCAAGCCCCGTTCTGCCACTTATGAGCTCTGGGATCTTGAGCAAGAGCCTCAGCTTCTCTGTGCCACAGTCTCCTCACTGTAAAATGGGGATGGGGTAGTATTGACCCTATTTGCTGTAATGAGGATTGAATGAGTTAATACAAGCATAATTCATGAAGCAGGATCTGGCACATTCTTAACGACCCATTCTTGGTTTTCATTAAGTCAGGAAGTATCTACTGGGAGCCCATGGGGCTACCATACTTGCTATACACGAGTTGGCACCACACACCTTCCTGGCAGCCTGAAAGCTCCTGGCAGCTCAGCCATCTCCCTCTGCTCATATAATAGCTCATAGAACAAAAAATCCCAAGTTCTCCAGGAAGCCTTCTGGGATTAATGAAAATAGGACCCTGCTAGGAAGAGGCTTCTACTCCTGTGTCCGGTAATTGCCATCATTGTTACTAAGTGGTACCTGGCACATAGTAGATGCTCAGTAAAGTCTGTTGGATAAACTCTCACCTGAATCTGGAAGGCTGTGCTTTGCACTGACAAATGTTTTGAGCTAGACCGGCGGAGGCCCTGAGTCTACGTTACTTATGAGGAGTGCTCGGGGGCCAAAGGGACATCCTGGAGAAGGCGGATCAGAAAGGGACTCTTTTCTCAAAGGTATGAAGAGGAGATCAACAAACGTACAGCTGCAGAGAATGACTTCGTAGTCTTGAAGAAGGTGAAGGATCCCCCCACCCTCAGCCTCAGCCCAAAGCCTCACAAAGCAGAGTGGTTTAAAGGTTGAGGGGAAGCACGAGTTTAGTCCTGCTAAGCGGAGGGTCTCCTGTACGCCATGTGGATGAGGGCCCGGGCCAGGGAGGGAGCCCACCGAGCAGGGCCTGAAGATTCTATATGGCAGGCTCTAAAGGGCCTACCAGACTTTGGCCATGCCCCTTCTGATGGGCCCGTGGGGTTTATGAATCTGAATAGGCCTTGAGTTTTGATTAGAAAATGGACAAAGAGAAGAAATAGGGTTTTGTTTTTTTTAGGAGTACATTCCCAGGAGCTAGTTTGCAAATTTAGATTCTCCCTCAGGCCCTCCTCATAAACCCTCCTCACCAGGGACCCGGTGTAGTGGCCCCAGCCCCGCTCACCTCTCAGCCCTTAGCCTCTTTTGCTCCTCTCTGTCGGGTATTCGCCAGGCCAGCCTGCCAGACAGCGGTCTACTCCTGTTAGGACATGTCTGCCTGGGCCTCATTTCCCCTGAGTGGAAGCCCCCGGGGGGCAGGCTCTCGTGGCCCCTTCCTCAGGGCCCAGGACTGGGCCAGTCTACAGGTTGGAGGGGACAGTGACTGAACTGTCCCTCAGGATGTCGATGCTACCTACATGATCAAAGTGGAACTGGAGGCTAAGGTGGAGAGTGTGACAGATGAGATCAACTTCCTGAAGGCCCCCTACGATGCCGTAAGTCTGCTCCTCACCTGCAAGCCCCTGGCCCACCTACTTTCCACCTCCTGGAGAAGGCAGAGCTCACCAGATCTTTACCAGGAGGCACTTGAATCACACGTGTGCTTCTGACAAAAGTGGTACCTTCCCACCCGGCCCTCAGTCAGACCTGACCCCTCCTGAGCTGGCGGCTCCCAGTCTTCTGGGGAGCCCTGGTGTTGGATCTGCTCAGGAATGGGCATGTCTGCCTGGCTTTGCAGGAGCTGTCCCAGATGCAGTCAGACACCAGTGACACATCTGTGGTCCTGTCCATGGACAACAACCGCTGCTTGGACCTGGACAGCATTATTGCTTAGGTCCGCGCTCAGTACGAGGTGATTGCCCAGAAGAGCAAGGCCGAGGCCAAGGCTCTGTACCAGACCAAGGTGGGTAACACCATCATATAACTCTGGGGACTCTGGCTCCCCCATCAAGCTACCTGGGCAGCCCTTGCCTCTGAGTCATTCTCTTCTATATCTCCAGTATGGCAGTTCCCTCCCTGCCCTGCTGGTCTGGTCTCACCCACAGGCAACTCCTTTCCTTTTATTTTTTAACTTTTATTTTATTTATTTATTTATTTTTAAAAAAGATTTTTTTTTTTTAAGATTTTTTATTTATTTATTTGACAGAGAGAGACATAGCGAGAGCAGGAACACAAGCAGGGGGAGTGGGAGAGGGAGAAGCAGGCTTCCCGCTGAGCAGGGAGCCCGATGTGGGACTCGATCCCAGGACCCTGGGATCATGACCTGAGCCGAAGGCAGACGCTTAACGACTGAGCCACCCAGGCGCCCTTTAAAAAAGATTTTATTTTATTTATTTGAGACACACAGAGAGAGAGAGAGAGCACAAGAGGGGGTAGGGTGAGAGGGAGAAGCAGACTCCCTGCTGAGCAGGGAGCCTGATACGGGACTCAATCCCAGGACTCTGGGATCATGACCTGAGCCGAAGGCAGTCACTTAACCAACTGAGCCACCCAGGCGCCCCCCGCCTTTTTTTTTTTTTTTAAGATTTTATTTATTTATGTGAGAGAGAGAGAGAGAGATAGGGAGCACAAGCAGGGGGAGTGGCAGGCAGAGGGAGAAGCAGGCTCCCTGCTGATCAAGGACCTCCCATGAGGGACTCAATCTCAGGACCGCGGGATCATGACTTGAGCTAAAGGCAGATGCTTAACCGACTGAGCCACCCAGGCATCCCTGCCTCTCCCTTCCTAACCAGACAGCTCTGACTTTGCTGTAACTTGGTGCTTCTCAACAGGAGGGAGGGAGGGTTTTCTCCCAGGAGACATATGGCAAAATCTGCAGATAGTTTTGGTTGTCACACCTGGGGTGGGGATGGGGGTGCTAGTGGAGTCTAGTGGGTATAGGCCAGGGATGCTGCTAAACATCCCATAATGCATGACCCCACCCCTCAACAAAAAATCATCCTGCCCAAAATGTCAGTAGTGCCAAGGTCGAGAAAGTCTTAATCCCTCTGGCTACATACCCTTTATTGCTGGAGATACTTCCATTTCTCCTCCACCAATCCGGACCTTATATTGTTTGCTCTGATTCGATCACACTGAGGGGCTAAAGCCAGTGTCTGGAAAGGAGTGGGGGGAGAAAGAGGGAGATTGAGCAAAGGGACCCCAGACACAACTTCTGTCCTCCTCCTCCCATCCCAAATCTGAATGGGGCATAAGCTGGCCCATATACTGCTGACTCTTCTGGTTAAGAAGATGGTTCCAGAGTCTGAAATGTTTGCATTCAAGTTCCAGCACTTTCACTCGATAGCTGGATGAGTTTGGTCATGGGAATTAAGCAATCTGTGTCTCAGTTTTCCCATTCATAAAATGGAGATAATCATACCTTTCTCATCAGGTAGTTGTGAAGTACAATGAGATAAAGCACAGAGTCAGGTGCAAAGTCTCTGCTCCACAAACACAGCTATCACGCTAGAAAACAGGTCCCTGGATGCAGGGGAGAGAGAACCTTGCACAAGTCACATGTCTGTGTTTTGGTTTTCCTGCTTGTGGCATGAAGGGTTGGGTTAGGGGATCTGTAAGGACCCTGCTGGCTTTCTGAAAGGATGACTCTTTCCTGGAAACAGTTGGGGGAGCTGCAGACCACGGCCAGCAGACATGGGGATAACCTGAAGAACACCAGGAATGAGATCTCAGCGCTCAACAGGATGATCCAGAAGCTGCAGGCCGAGATTGAGAGTGTCAAGAAGCACTTGGGAAGAGAAGGAAGAGCATGTGTCTGAGACTGTGGGCTTATGCTTGCACCATAACACTCAGGGCTCAGCACTTACTCCTGTGAAATCCTGTTGTAAACTCAAGCGTGCTGAGATTGACCAGGTGCAGTTCTGGGCTGGGTGCTGAATAAAGGTCCTGTCCCCATGGAGTCTGGTGGCTGATGTGGGTCAGCGATACTGAATACTGGCAAGACTGGGGAGGTTGGGGAAAGAAGCTGATTGTGTGAAGACCGAATTGGGAGAGTAGCCTAGGATGGCCACATCTAGATGCACTGGGGCAGAGAGAAAGTTTCTCTGATAATTCGGGAAGACTTCTTGGAGGAGGGAAGTCTTCAGAAGATGCTCAATCTCTTACCATGAAAGGCGAGAAAGGTAGAGTCTGACTCCTCATGAGCTGGGCTAGGTCCTTGAGGCCAGGTGTCGATAATCCCCCTCCTTGATGTGCTAGGGCTTAGATGGAGGCCCAGGCTTTAACCTCTGTGGGCCGTGGTTTCCTCATTTGCCCTACACGAGGGGACCCATATGCAGGTACCAAGCACACAGTGCAGGCCCTCAGTATATGAATCTCAATTGGACTCCTGGCACCCCATACCCAGAATGCCAACCTGCAGACGGCCATTGCTGATGCAGAGCAGTGCGGGGAGCTGGCCCTCAAGAACGCCAATGCCAAGCTTCAGGACCTCAAGGCCGCCCTGCAGAAGGCCAAGGAGGACCTGGCCCGGCTGCTGCGTGAGTACCAGGAGCTCCTGAGTGTGAAGCTGGCCCTGGATGTGGAGATCGCGACCTACTGGACCCTCCTGGAGGGCAAGGAGTGCAGGTTAGTGAGAGTCCCTCTGGTTCCCGAGAGGCCCAGTGGCCTGGTGGCTTTGCGGCCTGAGCCTGCTGCTGGGTACCGGGTGCATGCATGTGCTCTCCACTGGAGGTGGTGGTAAGCCCTCCACAGGCCCAGCCTCCTCCTTTTCAGGGCTGCAAGATGCTGCCAGACCTCCAGGAGAGCTGTTTTCCTAGGCAATAGACACCCCAGAGCCTTATCTTGGACAGGCTTCCCCGCCCTTCTTGTCTGATGTTTTAGCTGTAAAACACGTGTCTGCAAACAGCGGTCATAGGCAGAAAGATTATTTCTAGGCCATTTCTTTATTATGGCCTTAATTGTAGGTTTCTATAGAGTAGGTTCCTGGAGGCTGGCCCTTGGGTACAAGACCCTGGCCCATGTGGATTCAAATAATATTTACCGAATAAAGAGGATCCTGAGGAGTGGGAAGAGGGTGGGTAGGCCAGGGAGTGCTCCTCGGCTGTTACTCTGTGGAGTGTTTGTGGAAAGGGCAAGAACTGAAGTCCAACCTGACCCAGTAGAAAAAAGGAATGCATGCCATGATTTTTCGAGCACCTATCATCCTATTTCTTGTCGTCAGCATCAATTGCTGTTGCCCTAGGCAAGGTGCGTCTGGGGAAGGGAAGAGCTGCACAGGTCACTGACACTGGGGTCTGGCCCTCCCACAGGATGTCTGGAGAGTGCCAGAGTTCTGTGAGCATCGGTGAGGACGCAGGGCTTTCTCTGGGAAGGGGTTGGACGGCTGGGAATCATGTTTCTCAAATCGCGGGCCAGTGCTGGTGAGAGATCATCCTAGCTGCAGGCTGGGAAGAGCTCTTGGGTGGTGGCCAGGGTAACCCCGCGGCTGAGTTCCCAGAGGGGCCACCCTCCTCTCCCTGCGGGTCGCTGGCCCTGCCACCCTGCGCGAAGTCTCAGTGGGCGGGACCCTGGGAAAGACCTGAGGGGAGCGGGTGTGGCCCCGGGGCTGGAGGACGCCCCACAGGCTCCCTGACCCCAAACGCTCTTTGCACAACAGCGGCGGCGGGGGAGCCCCGGGAGCCGGTGCCCCGGGAGGCGGCGCGCTGGGAGGCGGAGCTGGGGCCCGTGGGGGCCTGGGCTTGGGGCGGGGCTCGGTGGTGCGCGAGGGGGGGGGGGGGCTTCTCCGGTTCTGGGGGCTCCTGCGCCGTCAGCGGGGGCGGCAGCAACAGCTCAGGCCGCATCTTGCAAAGCTCCTCCCAGAGCCAGCGGTCCCACCACAAATTCTGAACGGGGCACGCTAGGTGTCCCCGGACCCCTTCACCTGCCCGCATACCCCAGCTCTATGCATGCTATTCCACACCCCCGTGGGGCCCTTTCCCAGCGCATCTTCTGACCTGTGCCCCGGAGCCCCACCTTTCCAGACGACTGGAGTCGTGGCCCAAAATTTGCTGAGAAGGTTGATTGGGTTGAGCAACTGAGTCAGGCTAAGGGGCAGGGCCCAGGAGCTAGGCGGGTTCATCGCCTCTGCCCCACAGGTGACCCCACTGCAGCCCCACATCCCACTGCCTTATGGGAAAGCCCCAACCAGCCCCTGCATGCACCTCTTTCCCCAGCTTGTAGCCAGCGCCCCCTCCCCTGGTCCTCACCTCCTGCTGGTGCTTTGATTTCCCATTAGTGGTACTTGTCCCTTTTTGACTCCGAGAACTCTCTGTTCTGTATCTTCAATAAACTGCATTGTGTTTCAGACATGGTGGCAGAATTTTCATTCTGGATTGCAGGGTCACTGGTTCTAATGTCCATGCCTGTGGGTCATGGCAGTCCCTTTCACACAGAAGGTTCTGGCCTGAGACTGGAGGGAAACTCTAGGGAGGAAGTTCTAGAGTTCTCAGGCAGGACAGACATGATTTTTCAGCCACCAGATACTATGGATGATACAGATCGACTTCCTTAATTGATAAGATTTTGAATTCATAAAAAATATATTACGTTTGAAAAAAGTAGGTTAGATTTCCTTGCTTTTCAGTAATTCCAGGTAGGTCTGAAATTGTCCATTAATTGCAGCTAATTGTAATTGAATGAGTTGCTGGTAGACAAATATTTTCAAAAAGCAATGATAAAACTTCAAATGTTTTATAGCAAAAAATTATATACGCCGAGGCTATGTTTTATCGTGTTTCATATAATGTGGGGTGAAACCTTCCAGTATGAAGAGTTATGAGAGCTGACAAAGAACTTAGAATAGCCTCATGACCGGTCACCCCCTACCTCTACCCCAGACATAGCACACCATCAAGGTGGATCCAGGGGTACTTGGACAGAACACAGATTCAGTGCAGGGCCAGGAAGTCCCTCTCAAACCAGGGACATGTAGGTTGGGAGAAGCAAAATAAAAGGTGAACAAACATATGAGTACGTGCATGAGTACCTCCCTTATAAATCATGGTCCTCGTTAGCATAAGAGGACTGACAAAGAATGTCAGAGAAACAGAAAGAGAAGACACACTTTATGGTGATCACAGAAACTCTTAGCTAAGTAAACACACACTTGCAAGAGAGCCAGATGCTCACTGGGCTAGACAAAACACAACATACAACTGCAGCTTTGACAGAGGATGTTCTAGCTCGAGAGTGAAAAGTTTCCTTGGAACAACCAGAACGGTCAGAGAGGGAGGGAAGTGTGGGGACTGTCCCATTGCAGCCAGTCCTCACAGAGGCTGTAGCCTCCCCTCTCAAAAGCAAACCCACTGTTGGCCATACCCCTGCCCTGGCTGGTGAATGCAGCCTGGAGACAGGTGCCTTTAGCCTCATGGCTTGTTTCAAATGTACAAGAAATTGCCACACTCCTTTAAGTAGGATGATTAAAGAAGAAAGCTTTCCACAGCTTTCATATGATTTACAAAATTCCACAGGGCCATGTTTTCTTACTCATGATGCCATTCTGATTTGTTAAGGGAAGCTGGATGGAAAATCCAGTTTGGTTCACAGAAATTTGCATATATTGTGCAGCAATATAATCTTTGTTAAAACTGATGCTTTCTTGTGATTTGCCTGGCACTCTGTGAACAGCTTTTTAAAAATGAATTAACTCATTCAATCTTCACAGAGCTGGGCAGCTCTGTTATTATCTCTACTTTACAAATGAGGAAACTGAGGCACGGAGAGATTAAGTGGTGGAGCCAGGATTCAAGCTCCAGCAGCCAAACTCCAAAGTGTCCTGAAACTGCCTCGCGAAGCAGAAAGTAATACAGCACAGTGGGAAGCTCTCAGGCTTTGGAGGCAGGCCGCCCTGGTGTGACCCGGGCTTCCCACTGGCAAGCCGTGTCACTATGGGCAGGTTGCTTGGTACCTCCTCCCGCGCTAAGTCTCATCAATAAAATGAGGTGGTTCCGGTTGAATGATGTCATCTGTTTAACTCCTGGCACACTGTGAGCTCAGTAAAGTGTCATTACTATTTATGGACAACATTTCAGGAACCCACCTATTCTTTAAAGGAGGGAATGGTGGTAAATTAATTCCTTTCGTTTGTGTCTCTCCCATTATGGGCAAGGTGAGACATGATCTGGGAGTTTCCCACAGGTCTCATATTCCACCACCCCCCCCACTGGATTTGTGGTTCTGGACCCCACTACACCACTAACTAGCCCTGTAGCCTTGAGTCTCTCCCATTTTCCTCTTTGATCCAACATATAGAAGTATCCTCTGCCAGACAACCCCAGTCCCCTACTAGGGCCTCGAAGTTTCTCTTGGAAGTCAATCCCAGTCTAACCTTGTTTTCCTTTGGGCCCACACTTGTGTAGCTGCTCCTTTTGCCTCAGAGACAAGAGAGGGTTGCCAGCTTTATAAATGTGTGTATAAATAGTCATGACTTCAAGCGTGTTGGATGGGAGAGCCTAATACGCCTAGAACAATATTATCTCTGGACCTTGGCCATGAGAATGTGCAGGGCTGCTCTCAGACCTTGGGAGGGCTTGTGGCCCCAGGGCACTTGTTAGGTTTTAGGAGAAAGAGAGACGCTGCCTGATAAGTTTCCAGGTGGGCCCTGGGATACTAGTCAAAAGGATATCAGAGGTGGAGGGTCCTGGCTGGTTTGGAGCCTGAAGAGAAGCTTGAAGGCTTAGTTGGTGCTACAAACACCCGCCATAACCCAGAAATCAGGAGAAGGATTCCCCGGGGGTGTTCCTGTGTGCCCAGCACGAGCTTCTGACCCCTGCAGGCAGGGCCTGTTAGAGGTTGGAGATGGGGCTCCCCCATGTCCATCTCCCCCAGGCTACAGGAGCACAGAGGCTGTGGGAATTCTTCAAAGGCTCATGTTCTTTTTGGATTGGGAGGGACGGTACCCAAGCTCTAGTTCTCTGCACCACCAGTTTTCCCTGTAACCTTGACTAAGTCCTTGCACTCTTTGTAGCTATTTCCTTCTTGTAAAATGAAGGCTCTGGGCTGGTGGTCTCTGTCACCTGTCCAGGTCTGACATTCTTCTGTAGGGAGAATGGTGGTCTCAGGGTGTGGAGGCCAAGGCCAGGAGCTTTGATTCAGTCCCAGGACACTGCTCTCCCTGATCCCAATGATCACATCATTGCCTTCCTCTGCTGCCCAGGGGTCCAAAAACTCCCATTTGAAAGAGATTAAAGGCTTCCATAACTACACCAGGCCTGCAGCTGTCCCCTCCTTCCTGGGCGGGCTGGTGACTGAAATTCTTCCACCCTCCCTTTCTTTGTCCCCGCACCCCTGTCACACGTGTGTGCCTCTTGGTGCTAGCCACTTGCAGACCTGGGAGATGCAGGCTGAGATGAGGAGCAGATCTGCAGGGGCTGCCCCTGCCAGTCACACCAGCAACTCCTCTTGAACTCTGCCTCCCACTGCTGCCCAAGACTGTGATCCAGTGGCTGATAAGTGCCCTGGGCCTCACCCTCTTGGCAGCCCTGGGTTTCAGTACCTGGGAGACCAGCAGGGCAAGTTGGAGCCTTCCACTGACTTGCCCCTTTCCTTGAAGGAGAGTGCTGGTGGCAGGTGGGCAGAGTGTGGAGGGGAGGAAGGGGGCACCTCTTTCACCAGAGACCCCACAATGTCTTCTACAATACATGTGGGTTCTGGAGTGGGAGTGCTTGGGTTCAAATCTCCACACCAGCACTTTCATCTGCGTGTTCTTGAACAAGTTACTTGATCTCTCCAAGTCTCCTTTTCCCCACTTGTAAAATGAGTGCAATTATAAGAACGCCTTCCTTATCCTGTTGATTTTTAGGTTGAGACTCTCCATGTTTTAGACCTAGCACCGTGCATGGCCCACTGAAAAAGCACTCCATAAGAGGTTAACTATTATTATGATGCCCATTATTATTCTTTTGTCCTCGGCCTGAATAGAATCTCAAGAGGCCATTTCATTGGTTCTTCTGCTTCCTTCAAGCCAGTGGTTCCCAAACTTGTCTGCCCATTAAAACCCTCTGGGACCTTTAAAAAATTCCAGAGCCCACACTACACTCCAGACCGGTGAAATCCCGGTCTGGGGTGAGGGAAGCTGGAGGAGGCACAGGCACCAGCGGTCGCTGAAGCTCTCCAGGGGATCCCAACATGTAGTAAGTTTAGCAAGCACTGCTCTTTGTCGTCCAACCGGTTGAGGGGTTTCCTTTAGGGATAGCAATTTGTCCCAGAATCCTCATCCAGCATTGACTATTGATCTGAGGTCAAGTCTCTCCTTTGGGACAAGTAAAAATCTCTCATGCTTCACCTTGACCCCGATTTTCTCTTACTTCGAGGGAGTAGAGAATAGCCGTCACCCTATAGCAAAGGCTCAGGGAGTAGTACGTGCTGGGTCCCCCACCCCCAGGCCTTCGCAGGAGTGACAGCAGTCCACTGGGGGTCATCCAGCTGACAGGAGATAGACCGGGGTGTTGACATTGGATGCTGGTAGGTGGTCACAGCCAGAGACCCAAGAAGCTTTCTAAATTCTGTCTGGGATGCCTCTCTTATCATAATTTAGCAATTCCCCATATTCACCATAAGGGTAAATATAAACCTTGGTGAACTTCCTATTTATTTAGTTGGCAGGAGAGATGTGCGAAGGGGTTAATGATGTGCATTCTTCATGGCAGGGGTTGAAAGTGAGTGGCAAAAGAGAGCACTGTAGCAGGTGAGCAAGGGGTGGGCTCACATGCTCTGGGGTGTTCAGGGAAGGCTGCGTGAGGAACCCCCCCTTGGATGACTCTTTGGAATTTCCAACGTGCTCTTCCATGTTTGATGTCAGCTACTCATTATAATCACCCTGTGAATCTGGCATTATTATCCTTTCTTTA